CTGAATGTTTATACATTATGCATTATTTCTGCAATATCCAGAGTTTTCATCGAGGTTAATCGGTTCGGGAAAATGGGGATTTATAATTGATTTCCCAACGAAATCATGAGAAAAGTAAAATGAATGCCATAAGTGTGCATTAATGGTGATCCGTAGAACTAATTAATATATCGATATATAAAAAGCAAAACTTAGATTAATGTTTAAAATTACGAACTTTTTTGGGTCAAAATAATACAGAGTGGTACAATCATTGATTATTCCGCGGAACCCGATTGAAATCTCATTAATAGTCGTACTAGTCTAATGGGTACAAAGTTTTGACTTTGTTCCTGTCGCATGATCAGCTTATCTCATTGGGTTCGACTCCTTCACGAGTCATCAAAAAATAAGTAACACTTTTTCATATCTTCATAAGATTTTTTGTTCTTTTATCCTCGTTGATGAGACGTTAGCTTCACGTAGATGGTATAGCTCTGCTATCTGGATATACTCGCTACTTATCTTGGAGGTTGATATCAATCTCATTGAAAGTGACATCTTGAGACACTTTTCAATGTATTTTCCATTTACTAATCACATTATTTTGACTGAATCAAGGTACGGAACATAATCTTTAAAAACACAACCACTTGTACTGCAGAGCAATGATAGGGATCCCTTGTAGTCACTACCGTCTCAGCGACAGTAGATAAATCCTTTTGTTGTGTATTCCTTCATCGATAGGCTAACAAGAGGTTGATAAAAATTCGAACAGAGGGTTAAAGGGAAGTCGATTTTTTAAAATACTGATTCGCTATGTGCTTTAGTTTGTGTTTAATCCTCAATTCGCCCCATCAGCACACGCACAACATAACCTCGAAACTAACCAGATCGATGTTCTCTATTATGGGTAGGATCATCAGCCAGGATTAACATCGATGAGAAATAGATGACATATCTTAGGGAAATGATGAAGAACTCTTGATTTCGTTCACATGGGTTCTTTGTTCAGATGCTATCAATGGCTTGTTCGCTCACTGAATATGTTCTAATACGGTAATCGGAGTTACAGAGAGTCGAATAACGTTGAGCGGAAATATTCAGTCTTCAGATATTGTCATCAAAGTTAAGAATGAGTTCGTCATTTTCTTCCGTAGTTAAACCTATGAGCGAATCATTGAGAACGGTCGTCGTCCTTATCACGCTTAATAAACTTCATCAAATGATATCAAACTCATTTTCAATCAGCACAAGTTCTTCTTGTGTCTGTGCTGACTAATTAGGAAAATTGATATAAATATCTGGGGATCCTGAAAGCAAAAGAACCTCGACCACGCAGCAACATAATGGTCAAGTGCTAAATGCGAAAACAGGGCTCCCAAACGTGGTGCTTAGATCATAAGATCTTTGGCGACAAAGTGCGTCCTAAAAATTTTACCTTGGCTTTTCAAATTTCGGCTGATAAGAAATAGAATAAGACCGTGATATTCAAAAATATATATGTTTATATATACATATATATCTCCACGGATCTCTCTCATATGAGGGATCTGGAGCCGGTTAGTCGCGAGGCTACGTGGCGCGTCCCCAGGTGGCGGATAGAGGGTTAATCGCGGACCAAAAGCGAGCTTTGCTTCGCTGAGACGCAGGTGGATCCAAGGGATGAACTCCCTGTTTCTGCTACGCCGATTTGGAGCATATTTTATGTATTACTTTATTTTATGTACGTCAAAAGAGGAGTTAGGCAAGGCTATATCATCTCGCCAAAATTATTTACCGCCACCCTCCAGAACGTCATGCGAACATTAGAATGGAATAATATGGGAGTGAAAATCGATGGTCGGTAGGTACACCATCTTCGCTTTGATGATGACATCGTCCTTATAACACCAAACATTAGCCAAGCGGAACGTATGCTTGCCGACTTTGATGAAGCCTATGGAAAGATTGGTCTTTGACTAAATCTCACAAAAACGATATTCATGAAGAACGGATTGGTTTCGCATGCCCCATTCACGCTCAACGAAACGAATATCTCCGAATGCTCCGGCTATGTCTATCTAGATTGGGAAATCAATATGATGAACGACCTAGCTTCAGAGCTGAGCAGAAGCAAACGAGCAGCTTGGGAAGCCTTCAAGAGCATCGAAGATGTAGTGAAGAGAACAAAGAACACCCGACTCCGTGCCCATCTTTTCGACTCAACGGTACTACCTGCCCTAGCGCATGTGTCAGAAACCTGGTCGCTGCGCAGGCAGGATGAAGGGTCACTCCGCGTTATCGAATGCGCAGTCGAAAGGACGATGCTAGGTGTATCCCGTTCCGTTCCACACAACTAAGGGATGGGATCCGAAGCTCCGATCTGTGTCAAAGATCAAAAATCAAAGATGCCGTTCTGTACGCCAAACAGTTGAAAATAAGGTTGGCCGGACACGCAATGCGTATGAATGACAACCGATGGATAGGAGCCGTTGGTGACTGGATTCCTCGGGATGTCAAACGTACTGCGGGAAGACCACCGACCCGATGGTCAGAGTTCTTCACAAAGAGCTTTAAAGAAGGATATGATGCTCGACGAGTCCCTAGAGCGATCAGGACCCACTGGGCTACTCTTGCACGCGACAGGAAAAATGGAAGATTTACTGGCACCTGCTCGAGTCACTCGACGATCAACGGGGCTGCGGGTGATACAGGTAATGTGTCTATATATATATATATATATATATATAT